GAACCCAAAATTCCACTCAGCAGCATTACAGTGAGACTGCTCATCAAGAAAGTGAAACACTTGAAGCATGGTAGGTCTAAGTAGAAAGCTCCGGAGGGAAGGGAGCAGCAACACAAGCACCTTAAAACTAAACTCACATTGAAAGAAAAGGTGTGCAATGCTTTCATCCCCACAGTGACAAAACTGGCACAAAGGGTTAATCATAATATTTCTTTTGACAAGCACATCTACGATTTTTAGACCCCCCACCATGGCAAGCCAAACAAAAGAAGAGAAACACAGAGCAGAGTGTTTGTGCCATAAAACCTTATCAAGGTTGTTAAAATAAAGCATAGAAAAAGTTATGAAGCAGGGCTTATCCGAACCCTTCCAGGAGATAGAGCTAGGGGGATTGTCCACTATCTGAATAGCATGAATCATGGTTTGAAGCTGTAAATCAAATTGTAAAGGAAAAATCCAATTACTAGCATCAAGACACTCAAGGACTTCCAACTGTGAAAGGGAATGAGGAGGAAGAATGAATTCTGCAATAGCAAAACCCTCACACCAAGGGTCCCATAAAAGAGAAAGTTTACAATTGTTTTAAGAAACATGGAAGCAAATTTTGTCCTTAATCCTACCAGCCGTGAAACAGATGGACTTCCAGAATTTTGAGGCCATGTGAGGAGCAAGTTTCCAGGTAGAGATAAACTTGGCCTTATACCACAGAGCCAGCAAGGAGTTAGAGGTGTAGAATCTCCAAATAAAGGAGCAGTCAAAGCCAAATCATTGATGTGGTAAGGGTGAGCTCGCATTTTTAATAATACAATAGAGTGGAAAAGCTAGAATTTTTTTTTCTTTAATTCTAGCTTTTCCACTCTATTGTATTATTAAAAATGCCAGCTCACCCTTACCACATCAATGAAATGACATATCAAATCCACCATCATTAGGACTTAGGAGTGCTAATAAATAACCTGACCGGTTAATCAGAGAAAAAAAATTCAAAGTTCGGAATGACCCGTTTAATAAATACAGGAGCGGAACTACATATTGCTTGGGCGGGGGATGGGGGGGGGGGTTTTTGTTGTACTTGCCCCCCTCAAAATTGAAGCTGGTTCCGCCTCTGAATTAATAGGTCAAGTTTTTTGACCTCTTCATTAAATAGGATAGGTTCAAAAATAGGATAGGTTAAGGTTGACATGTGAACCAACTTTTGACTCATAAAAGACATGTTTAATATATTTTTCCATAATTTTTTGTATTTGTGAGTATAAGTTTTTATTTATTATCAAATATCCTAAATTTTATAGTTAATAAGTTATTTAAAAAAACCAAAATATTTTCAAGTTTGGATCATTAAGGTTACTAGTAGGTCAGATTTGAGTTGGCCATTTTAACTCGTTTATTAAATTGGTCAGGCTCGAATTCATTAGATTTGGGTCAGGTCAATTTTAACTTAATCTTGAACCCAACCTGTTAACATCTTTTGACGCACCCAATCTCATTACTATATGCTAGTTGCTTATCATTGTTGCAATACATTCTTGGAAGGTGTGGTAGCAATCTCCTTTATGCAATTATGAGAATTTTCAAGTACTCTATTGATCAAAATCAGAAATGTTATGTACTATCACCCATGCATTATAAAAATGATGTCGATCAAACTATCATTAACATTCAATGAAATATTTCATTTTCTGTTGGAATTTGATTGAAAATGGTTGTTTAAGTCAATATTTAGGCTTCATTTGAGACAACTTTTTTACTACTTTTTAAAATAAATTTTTTAATGCAAAAAATTTTATTGCAAAATTTTTTTTTTACTAAAAAATCACTTAAAAAAGCAGTATAAAATCTGTCTCATACAAAGGAATGCAATACCAAAGAATTTTATATTCTCGGAGTTGATTTGTGTATTTTGATCTAATATGAGGTTAAACTTGAATTATTTTAATTAATTTAGAGCATTTATAGTGGTAATTGTCTCCGCAGCACTTTTGTAATTCTGATTTGAATTATAATTAAGAGAATACTCTATAAAGAGTAAAAGAGATACCTCTTAATGGTATTATTAATTGATAATCAGGATGATCAATAAGTTTTTACCAAGGAATTCTCAAATATGCTAGGTAATTTTAGGGCTCTCAACATTGGGTCACAGGTTGGGTTCAAGTCAAATATGGAACGGACTCGACACTAATTGACCTAACCCATTTTCGCAAACAGATCAAATATTTCAACTTAGATCCGACCCGCGCGGGTTGCCGGGTTGACCCGACCCGACTTGTGGACAGAGCAATGGTAACAATAGCTGAAGCATCTCGGCAACGCTGGTAGACGAGTCGTGGGAGATGCGCTGGCGTTGTGACTGGTGACTGATACGAAGAGATGAGATTTGACGTGATAAGCCGGGCGGGCAACAAACGCGGACAAACGTGTTCCCGGGTCAGTTTCGGGTTTCCGGGAGAACCCGACTTGGTTTTTGAAATGGGTTAGTTTATTGAACCTGACCCGATCAGTTTCAAAAACGGGTTAACCACAACTTGAAATTTTCGGGTAGGATTCGAGTCAGATTTGTGAGTCGTGTCAAATATTAACACCCTAGGTAAATTGATATTCTTAGTTTTTAATTGTAATGATATAATTCTCATGAGTTAAACCTTTTGTACCTATCTGTATGAAATTAAGGCTTCATTAGTGACATCTTCTTTATTAATATTTAAAGCAATTTTTAGTATAAAATTTATAGTTCAAAAAGTTTTTTATTAAAATTTTACTTTAAAAAATAGTAAGAAAATTATTTCAAACAAAACCTAAATGGTTTGATTTTTCTTCTTTCTTTTTAGGTGCATTATTTTTTTTCGCATTTATTATGAATTGACATATTATTAGAAATGAATTGTTGGGCTAATCAAGGAATAATTATTAGGTTCGGACATCGGACGTAGCTCTACATCCGGAGGCCAATAACATGTCACCATGTGCTCTTACTCTGTACCGTGAGGCTCGACGACCTGACCCGGATCGGAATCCGAGATTGCCATGTTCTCTTATTTTGCTAGGTATTGCTTTGTATTAATACCGAGCAATACCTAGCAAAACCGGGGTATTGCTCTGTATTGCTAGGTATTGTTCTTCACAGAATGATATTTCTCGTTATTGTCGATGAATATCGAGCAATACCTAACAATATCGAGCAATACCTAGCAATACATGAACATAGCAATCCCGGGTCCGATCCGGGTCGGGTCGTCGGGCCGCGCGGTAAAGAATAAGGGCATGTGGCACCATTTTACTGGCGTCCGAACGTTGAGCTACATCAGGACACCGGGCTAAATAAAAATTCCTAATCAAGAGGGTGGTCTAAATAATATTCATGAATATAATCCATAATTGTGAGAAATAAAGTTAGTAAATAAGATATCTTATGAATTTAATATGTTACAAATAAGAATAAAACCTTATTGAATGAATAGTGATAGAATTCAAAAGAATAATGGATAAATAAAATGTTTTTTTTTTTGTTTTGTTTAAATAATCTTGTAATTGGGTTAAACATATATATAGTATTTATCTATAAAATTTAAGCATATATGTGATAAATGAGTCAAAAGGCTGGGTCTGATTTGAGTCAAACATTTTCAAGTCAGGTCAATTTATGTAAGGCCTGAATATTATTGGCTAATTCTAATTGACACCTCTAATACAAATCATTTTTTGATGGATACTTTGAAGTGGATGGTATGCTTTCCACGAAGTCTATAGAGTTGGCTCAAGAAAATCCCCAAATTAAAATAAATAAATTATTATTACTTAATTAATATATATTCCCTAAAATAAATATTGGAAACCTTAGGCTTCGGCTATTTAAAAGCTCACTAACCATTTTGAATAGTATTTATTGCATTGAATTCATTAAATTAATCATTTTAATAATTAATCTATCTCAGATTATGGCTTCAAATCAGGATGGGATTATGCTAATTTAAATGGTTAGATCTTAAATCGTTTTTGTTATTTCTAATTATAGAAAAAATAAATTTTGACAAATATGTTCTATATTATTTGCAAGAAAAAATAATTTTGTGAATTCTCTCTTT